ATTGCTGCACTTTTCTTACTATTCAGACTCCTTAATTTATGAAGGTTGGAGTGAACTCAGTGGCTTCTGCCTCTCTCAAATAGGTTTTCAGCTTTGGAATCCACTAACAAAAAGGTATTTTGCTAAGTGCTTTATAGAGGTTAGCTTGATTAATCATCCCAACCTCAAAAGGAGTAATGATAGCTGTCACATACATAGCTGGGCACTACTCTGATATTTACATGTGTTGACTCATTTCATACTCACAGTGTATCCTTACTATCTCCATTTAATAGTCAAAGACATAGAAAAATAGAGAGATAAATGGGTTCAAGTTTCACAGGTGAAAAAACTGGCAGATATGGGATTCAACTCAGGAAGTCAGATTTCAAGACTTGTGATCTTTACCCCTACAACCACTGACTCTCCAAGAGCCAGGTGTTTGTATCTCCAGTTTTTGAAAAAAGATTTTGGCAAAAGCATATGGCTAGTGAGGAGGAGAACAGGATAAGAATCCAGACACGTCTGACACCCATATCCGTGCTTCATCTCCTATTCCAGCCCCAGTAGTGGGTTCCAGGAATGAGGATGGGAGGGAATACCCAAGGCAAGGTTAGGAGGAGAAGAGGTCTATGGGAAAGCATTGGGTACAAGATGCCTTCCTGTCACCATCTACCTTCACTCCATTCAGTGATGCCAGCAGCCATGGGATGGCAGCTGTGGCTACATTCCTCAACTCTGGATCTCAAGGACTAGAGAGCATCCTGAGGATGCAAACATAAAGAATCTGAGATGTGCATAAACTTCAAACCCTCCCTATGTAGTGTCAGTAGCTACCTTGGTTGGTGCTGATTTTCTTTATCTTGATTCTGGCTCTATGATGATGGATGGACTAGTTTAAACTCCTTTGAATCATCTGGACTGCTCAGAGATCTAAAGGACAATAGGTTTTATGACTAATGAATCCAAATTTGGGGAGCAGAAGCTATTGTCATCACCAGTTCTTTTAATCAATGAAACTCAAAGGTCACTAATTAAATTTCTATCTGTGTATGCTTTATGTGACACTTTGATAAATGCCATATAGATCAAACTGAACACTACCTATTTTCAAAGGGTTTATAAATCATGTCATCCATGTAAAAATGAAAACACAATTAAAATAATTATTATAAAATATTGGGGACAGACTTTAAATTGATCTTATGTAGATATTTTGATAACAGAAGATCCCTCTACACTCCAAGCAAATAAATAAATATATGAATAAATATATCTTTAGACACTACCTCTCAGACCAAGTCCTGCTCAGTTTTTAGAAAACTAAGTTAAACTCTCAGTCTGGCCTTCCAAGTCTTATTCATGCAATCCCAGCCTTTGTCTTTAGCTATGAACCCCCATTTCCCCAAACATGACTTTCTGAAATGAAAAAAAAAATAGTTGTTTGAGGAGTGCATTCAGCATTTTATGCCCTCATGGGTTGGTAAAGGAAGCTGCTGCTGTGATGTCTTAACTCAACTGCCAATTGGGCTCACCTTTCAAACAAATCTTAAATGCTACCATCTGGTCTAGGAATCCTCTCCCCATCCTACCAAACAAAAGTTATCTTATCCTTTTCTGAATCACCAGAGTCTCAGTGGTACCTACAAGTATATATATGAAGAAGTAAAGATATATATATATATACACACATACATAAAACTTTTACCATTATTATTTGAATTATGATCTTCAATGTGTTTACCTAATTTCCCAAATTAGGCTGCAAATTTCTTAGGATTGGTGACCAGGGTTTATTTCTCCAGTTGCCTCAATTACCTCTCTTTTGCCCGGAAACCATTTGCACTACAAGGATTCAATAAACACTTAATGAACTGCTATTTTATTAATAATAATGATGGATGGAGGGTGTGGTTTTGTAGTCAAACACTTGCCTGGCATGCACAAGTTTCTGGGTTCAATCAAACACTGCAAAAAATTAAATAATGCTAGTGATATAGAACCTCTTATGGAGCATCAACCATGCCAAAAGTGACATTAATATAACTAATTTAAAATTCAAAATCCTGTGACCAAGGGAATTAAGGCTTACATTAATTGTTCAAGTTTACATAACATGTGGAGTTCCCAACTCAACATCTCAAATATACCTTCAATCAAAAATCCCCAATTTGTTAAGATTCTCAATCTGAGCCCAAGGGAACTCTATATGAAAGTGATACAATGCATAAGATATATGGTTTTTAAGTTTTGGATAAATTAATTTAATGAGTATGAAATAAATCTGCACCTCTCAAGAGTAATGAGTTTAAAAACTTAAAAATATATTTATTAAGAAGAAACTTTATCACCACAGTATAAGAACTATAAGAGATGAGGGAATATATTCTTATGTGAGGTATTTGTTCAGAATAATGATTATGAATAAATTGAATTTGCATAAAGAATAAAGTATAGGCTTAGAAGATTGATGGACTAGAGTTAAAATTCTGAGTGTAACATTGTAGCTCTTGTCTTTGGGCACACAACTTAAACTTACTATTTTAATAGGGAACAGATTATTTTTGAAAGAACACATACATGAAGCTGGATTGGGACTTCTGATGTATTTTAGCAAATTATAGAGTCAAAAGACAAAGCAAAACATTAGATGCAGAGGTACAGCTGCCACTCCTATTTCTGTAAGGACAGAATACTATTCCTACCAGCATAAGAGAAACAAAGGCCAGCATCACAGCTTTCCTCCAAAATCCAGTACTTCTCTTTAAACCAGCAAACAAACCCATTCTCTTAAACCTAAAGAACTAAAGGTCAAAACCTGAAACCCAAGTTGCATCATCCCTTTAAAAAGTCTGACTACTTATATCCTCAATGCCTGCTCCATCAGTTAATCCCCAACATTCAGAGAACGTGTTCTTTGGAAGCAATAGGCATCAGTCTAAAGCATTTGGCATCAGTCCTATGAACATATAAACACCATAGTCAGTTTTTAAAATTTTTTTCAGATGTTCCCAACTTACTATCTGAATCTCAAGTTTCCTCAAATGTTAATTGGATCCCCTAGAAGGGCTGCTGTACAAAATATATGTGACTACAACTATTCAGTACCCAACACAGTGGGCACTCAGTAGAGACTAATTAATTCCCTTTCTCCTTCCTAGGTTCTGCCTAAGTGGAGAATTATCAAAATCTTTGGACCAATGTGTTTTTTTCTCTCACTGCCACCTGCCACCATAGATGGTTGGTTCAGATAAAAAGTGCTACCTCATTTCAGTAAGACACAGAATGTCATTTACCACAAGACAAGTTACAGACAGTGTTTATTGTATTTATTATGGTTGCAACCAAATAAATGACATGAAGGTAACTGTTTTTTGTTTTGTTTTGTTTTGTTTTGTTTTGTTTTGTTTTGTTTTGTTTTGTTTTTTAAATCCTTAGAAAATCCCTAAGCTAGTCCCCTGGAAAACAGGTGGCTGGAAACCCAGACCCCACCCAAAGTCAAAAGACCCCAAGAAACAGACCATTGCTTCCTCTGCCAATTTTTGAAATGGAGGAGAAAGATCACAAACATGAAGTTGTATTGGGACTTGTGATATATTAGCAAATTATAATGTCAAAACACAAGGCAAAGCGTTTTTCTGGGGCAAGGTATATCCCATTTCAAACCAGTATGCTAGAGCTGAATTTGAAGCCAACTATCACAGTATGTGATAAAGTTACTTTGAAGTTATCAGAAGTTGCTTGGTTTGTTCACAAAATTCCATTTTGTGTGTCAGGAACATTTCATTATTTTGTAAATCACAAAATCATGTTCTTTAAAATCCAAGATGAATATCAAAGCCAAATGGATACAGCAGATGTTCTTAACACTCATAATTGCAATTTATACATTCAGCTATTGAAAATAAAACTTCACTTTCCCTGTCCTCTTGATTTTCCAATTTCCTCTTCATTCTTTATCTGAAAAGGGGGGATGGGAGAGGGAGGGAGAGGGAGACTGCATCATAGGAAGGGAATCTCTACTACTTTGTCAGTCTAAAGAAACCATAATGTGTCAGGTTTTCTAAAGAAATCCCATCTATTCTCATAAAAAACACGTCTGCATTGTATTCACATATGTAAACTGTGATGTAATTATTATTCCAATAATTATATATAAGAGTGTATATACCCTTGTGAGTGTATCTTTATAGTCCCTATCCTTATCTCTCTCTCTCTCTCTCTCTCTCTCTCTCTCTCTCTCTCTGTCTCTCTCTCTCTCTGTTTCTCTCTCTTTCCCACTCTCACACACACACATACCCAGTCTATAAATCCAGAAGGCATTCTCAGCCAGATTTAAAGAGAAGGATTTGAGCCGCCCAGGGAAGGAGCAGCCTTAAATAAATCTGAAGTGCTCTTGTGATTTAGGCACAGCTCCTTCTCAGCAAAGCCCTGTTGCCCAATCCTCTTCATTGACAAATTCCCAATTTCTTTTTTAGATATTTGGTCTCTGGTCAGCTTAGTCCATTTGGCTTTTTCATCTGAAAGGGAAGGAGGTAGTAAAAATATCGGTGTGCCCCGACTGGGGAAGCAGGGGTACCTTCCACACCCCAGCAACTGACACCCTCTGTCCTCACTAGCTTGGCTGCTGCTCATCTTCCAGGAGCACAGAGGAGATCAGTGAAGCAAGGCCACAGAATCCATCAAGTCCAGATTCACCCAAAAAAGCAAACCCCTTCCCCATCCCCGACACTCACCCATTACCTCCTACAGCCCCCTTCCCTTCTGTTGCCTCCGCGTCACCCAACACTGCAGCCACCGAAGGGGGTGCGGGGGTGGCGTGTGGGGAGAGAGGGGGCTTCCTTCGCACCCACCCCTCACGCACCCAGAGAAGAATGTCCTCTGGGGAAGGGGATGCCAACAACTTGGAGGAACTTAGAAAGCAAAAGCTGCCGCGCCCCGACCCTTGGTGGGGCCGCAACCCCGAAGGCGAGGGCGAAAGAAGGGAGTCCGCGGCGAGGGCGAGCACCCCCGGAGCTTACCACGAGCACGGGGACCCCGGCGGCCAGAGAGTAGAGGAGCACGGGGGGCACGGCGCTGCTATCCTCCGGGCCCGGGTAGGGCTTGCGGTAGGCACTGTCGTGGCAGAAGAAGCCCTGCACGTTCACGGTGAACGTGTCGGTGTATTCGAAGTAGTATGCCAGCATCACCGTCCCTGCCATGATCACCATCTGGAAATAGAGCATGCTGCTGGTGAGCGCCGCGGGCAGCAGGGGCATGCACGCCTCCGGGCCGAGCCAAGCCGAGCGGGCGGCCGACGCGGCAGGCCCCCTCCCGGGTCCGCCGAGTCAGCCACCGGGGGCGCGGCGGCGGGGGAGGCTGGAGGACGCGGAGCGGGAGGAGGGATGGAGCCGCTGGAGGAAGAGGCGGAGGCAGTCAGGGTTTTGAGGCGCGGGCAGGCTGCAGAGGAGGCGGCTACCCCCGGACGAGTCCCTGCTCCCCTGCCCGCCCCCTGCCCGCTGCAAGCGCCGCCCGCCCCGGCGCGGGGTCGCGCGGAAGGGCGGGGAGTCCCCGGCGACTGGCTGCGGCCGCTGCACCCTGGCAGGAGACCATTCGCGAGACCGCTGTTCTGGGTCAAGCCCTCAGGCCAGCAGGCAGAAAGCCGCGTCGGCGGACCGGGCGGCAGCAAGCGGGACAGCGGCACCTGTACCCCCTTCTGAGGGCGGACGCTGTGGAGCTGGAGAGCTCCTGGCGGGGGGAAAACCAAAATAAAAAGGGGAGGAGAGGCAATAGAGATGGAGCTTCTAGAAACTCCCTTTCTAGGCACCAGCTGGGCTGTTTAAGAAACCCGCACAACGCCTGGGAAAATGGTGCGTGGACACGTCTTCAGAGCGCAAATCCCACCAAAGCGCAAAGTGTCCGATGCGGCGCCTCTGAGTTTCAGCGTGTGCCTTTAGCCGCGCTCCCTTGGATTCCTTAACCCTGCACAGGACCCCAGCAGAGCAGTGGTTTCTAGGTTCGATTAGAAAAATGATCTCAGAGGATTTTAGCTTTGGGGTTTCTTTGCCTCCCCTGCAGTTTCCTAGGGCTTTGTGTGTAAAAATACAGAAATCATTGCTGGAAGCTCCAGAAGCATCATCTCTTGTACACCGGTTCCTTCCTTCTTCCATGTATTCTTTTGCTCATCTTCTCAGTCTCCTTTTATTAGCTGCTTGTGAGAGGGGGCTTTACAGATTCTTGGGAGTCAGCGGTACCAGCCATCAGGAAAAGAAAAAAGGCTATTTGATTCATCTCTGTATTCCCCTAGTTTAGGAATCTGCAGAAATTCCTGTAAGCTCAGGTGAAAGGAGAGGCAGACCAGTGCAGGCTCACAGTACCATGCAAAGTACACTCATACGTGGGTATCCACGCGTGTGCGTAGAGGTAGGGTGCTATGGAATTCGTTTATGCAAGGAATGGATTCTGTGATGCCATGTAGGTCCCTCTGTGCAAGCTTAGGTAGGGGATTCCCAAAGGGCCCTTTGGAAACCTGACACTGCAGGTAAGAAAGCATTTATACAAAGCAAGATAGGAGAATATTCTTAGAGCTCTGCCCTTCTCATTAAAATGTAGAATTACCTTAGCAATTTTCTAACTTGATTCATTTTAATGGGTGTAAATGATTTTTTAAAGGTGGGCCTTTATCATCAAGAAAATTCAACATTGTTAGGCTAAAAAAACAAGCAGTTCAAATGATTGGTAGTTTGGGAATGAGATAGTAAAGACAGTGTGGGTTTCTTTAATGTTGAATGGGTATCGCATATACCTCCACATTATACAAAAACCATTCAGAAACTTATTTCTCAGAGTGTGCTCTAAGAGATGTGTATAACAAGCAATTTGGGGCTGTGGGAGTAAATAGTTCCTAGGTGGACAAAAGTGATTTTCCATATTATAAAAATGTAACTATTATAACAATGCATAGGTTAAGGTTTCATTCAGAAAAATCATTATACTGCAACCACTGTAGTGTAAGGGAATTTAAACCACTTCTTTGGTTCTAAAGTGTATGGTGCAAAATTTCCCACTTAATATAATTTTTACAAGAATGATGTTAATCACTAAGGTCAACTTATTTGTTCCACCTAATAAAAACAAGCATTATTTTCAAAATTGAAATATATTATAATTCACTGTTAATGTGTATTGAGTGCTTCATACTGTACATGTAATGCAGTGGAGTCCTTATTTTCTTCATTGCTCTATTTCCAGAATGAGCAGGGTATGACACATGGTAGATATTTAATTAATATTTGTTGAATAAATTAATGAGGTTACTACCCTAACAACAACAGGAAAGTGTTTTCATTTATAAAATTTGTCAAGGTTTAGGAAATCACAGTCTATATGTCCCTAGATAAATACAACCCATCTACTGGCATGGTCACACTGACATAGACGTTCAGTAGAAGAGCATCACTCTGATACTGCAATAGTTCATTTGCCAGCTCTGCCACTTAACAACTGTGAACCTAAGCAAGATGCATGACTGTTTTCTGCTTTAGTTTCATCACTAGCAAAACTGAGATGATATGAGTAACCACTGTACGTAGTTGATGTAAGTATTACATGATGCTCCACTATATATGGCACATAATGGATATATAAATAGTGCTTAGATTCTACAAAAATCAACTATCTAGCCTACCTTAAGTAACTTGGGAAATCCCAACACCTATCTCTAGTCACTTCCTTCTCATATTATTGCTTACAGAGTGACTCTGGGTGTGCTCATATTTTTGTAGTTGTGCATGTTTTTTTTTCCTATAGAATTGTATTCATTCTATCTTTTTCTTTAAATGCAGTCAATCTCAGGAACAAGATATGTATGAGCTTTTTATCACTGTAAGTAAATACCTGGGGGAAATTAACTTAGAGGAGGAAAGATTTATTCTGGCTCATAGTTTCAGAAGTTTCAGTACATTGTCAGCTGGCTCCATTGCTGCAGGCCTGTGATGAGGCAAAACACCATGGTGGAACACCATGGAGGAGCAGAGACATGCTCACTTCATGCTGATGGTGAACCAAGGAGAGAGGGGGGGAGAATGAATAAGAAAGAGGAAATGCAGAAGGGACACCAAGGGCAAGAAATACCCTTCTGGGACACACCCTTAGTGACCTACTTCCTCCAGCTAGGTCCACCTCCTACAGTTTCCACCACCTTTCAATAATGCCATAAAATTATGGATCCCTCAGTGGATTAATCCAATGATGAGATTTGAGTCCATGATCCAGTCATCTTCCCAAAAGCTCCACCTCAGAACACTGCTGCACTTGGGACCAAGTCTTCAACACCATGAGCCTTTGGAAATATTCCAGATCCAAACCATTAAAGTTTTTTTTTTTTTCAGAATCTAATATCACCGTTATTTTGTCATTTTAAATGGTCAAAGGGCATTGTTGACTGATTTGTGGTTGATTGAACATCCAGTCCTGAAATTTAAAGTTAATATTGAATCTTAACATGCATTATAAGGAAATCAACATTAAATTTACCTTCCATGAATATTTGAGCAGACTGGATATTCATAGAAAATGGTTCGAGGTGGATGAGAGAGAATGAGTTATATGCCCCTGGGCTACGTCTTCCTAAACTTGAGCTTCTTCTAAGCTAAAGTGAACTCAATTTTCTTACCTCTGGGCTGACTTTGGCAATTAAATGAGAATATATAAATTATCTGATCAAAAGAAGGAAATTAGTGTATTTCTTAATTTTCTTTTAAATCATTTAAGCTAATTCTTTCCCAGAATACATCTTTTGATCTGCAAAGAATCCTTTGAAATCCTTCCTCAATTTTTATTTAAGTTTCTGGCTTTTTCTAGATTAAAAACATCCTGTTGCTATTTAATCTTGTGGAACAAAGACTTAATTCTTAATTTAATTTGAATCTTAAGGATATCATTGTGTTTTCATATCTATTACAACAATCAGTCTTTTTTTTTTTTTCTGGTACCAGGGATTGAACTTGGGGACACTCAACCACTGAGCCACATCCCAGCCCTATTTTGTATTTTATTTCGAGACAGGGTCTTACTGAGTTGCTTAGTGCCTTACTTTTGCTGAGGCTTGCTTTGAACTCAAGATCCTCCTGTCTCAGCCTCCAGAGCCGCTCAGATTACAGGTGGGCACCACTGCACCCAGTGAGCAATCAGTCCTTCTTAACAAAACATTGTATTTTTGGAACTCTCCCCATCTCAGCTCCTTCCAACTTCCAGTATTCATATTATATTTAGATGCATATGACTTAACAACCATTCATACCTCTACTGTGTTTCTCTATGACAAAAATACTGAAACAAATCTTGGGGGAATCATTTATCAAGACCAGTACCTGCCTTCTTTCCACCTCAATACCATATGCTCTAGTAAGAATGAGTAAGGTTCTATACCAGCATACAGATTATAGTCCTTGGGGCTGGGGATATAGCTCAATTGGTAGACTGCTTGCTTAGCATGCACAAGGCCCTGGGTTCAATCCCCAGCACCACCCAAAAAAAAAAAAAAAGATACAGTCCTTGTCCTTGTGGTTTATAACTATTCTTCTATAGACAGAAGACAAGTGTACAAAAAACAAAAAAGGTGCAAGGATAAATTGCCTAGTCCTTGGATAGACAAGCACTGAATGCCTGTGGAAGACTAGATATGCCAGTGTGTTCTCCTCATTCACTAATACAAGTACAGGAGACTATTCCTGACTCCTCAAGATTTTGACCCATTGGATTCAATACAACAAATATTTTATTACTGAAAGGGTCAGATTGATATTTTCTGCCAAAGGCTAAGAATTTGATCCTAATGGCTTGTGGACCAAATGTTTTTGTCAAAGAGATAGCATTTGCAAACAAAATACAGAATGTTAAATGTTCATTTCCACCCATTTGATGCAAATAATATGTAAATCCAGTCATTTTCCTTACACTTTTACATTTAATGTGAAAGAGAGAGAGAGAGGAAGAAACAACATGACCCTCAATACATTGTCTGTCCTTTGTGGTAGAATATGAAGGCCTCAGAAGACTTTACATAAGACAAATTAGAGATGTTTCTCCAAAAGAAAAATGGATTTCTTCTTTAAACAACAAGGCTTATGTTCATAATGCTAAAGTTGAATTAAAAATTTTTAAAGAGAGAGTGTGAAAAGTTTTGCACTTTGCACTAAAGAGAAAGCTTAAATATGAGCACATAAATTGGCACAGGATCTCATGAGAATAGACTTGGAAAGGTTTTTTTTTTAAAGAATAGATTATGTAACTGCTTTCAAAATAAATAATGGCATCTGGTAATACATTAAAAAGTTATTGAATGTATACTACAAAAGGTAGTATCCAGCAGCTCATTGTTACCTGGATCTAGAGAATTAATAAATACATGAATATACTAACTCATCGACTAT